ATTACTGACTTTTATTAAAATGTACTAACGCTGTTGTAGACAAAACAGAATAATAATATTCACAACATAAACAGCCTGAAATCAAAGATACACACATAAAAAAAATGCACAACGATATAGCTTTCTGGCCTGGTATCTGTGTTTTAAAGAATAATACAACATGGCAGTGAGAGGGAGTTCTTCATTGTGATCCACTTTAGATTAATCACTCAGATCTGTTCATCCTTTCACCACTGTGAAACATTTGTCTCCTCTGCCCATTAAACCCGGCAAACGTGCAACACTAAAACACTAAACCGGCTTTCAGCAAAAAGCGGGCTGAACTCTAAGACTCCATTTGAATTTTTCACTTTGATTTAAAAAAAAAAAAACTAAACAAAAAAAGGGAATCCTTTGCAATATTCCCATCTATTTTCATCTAGGGCATGGCTTCTTAAAAAGTAAACCCACCACAGTCAAAAGCATCAAAATCAGAGTCCCCCACCTCAAAGTCAAAACTGTTGAAATGGGGGGAGTTGAGAGAGGAGCCACCGAGGTCGTACGCCCCTACAGGTCCTGTGCCGGTGAAGTCCGTGTTGGCAGCCAGGTCGGCTTTGACGTCCAGATTAGTGGATGAGCATGCTCCGAGGTAACCCAAGGCAGAGGAGGCAGCAGCCCCTCCCATCAGCATATAAACAGCCTTCATCGCTTGGGCATTATTGAGAGTGCCGTGACGCAGGCATCCCACCGCCTGCGCACCCCGTCTGTAATTCTTTGTCTGAGGGAAATTTCTGCCTGTTGGATTAAGCGTTTTTTTTCAAGATCATTTCATATATTTTTTCTTATCTTTATTGTAACAAAATGCATGAAAGTAATGTCTAAACTCACAGTTCTCCCTTGGAGAAGTGTTGCTTGCCGGTCCTGGAGAGGGTGCCTCCGTGTCACTTACAGGTGGAGTTGGTGGATCTTTGTCCAGAATTTGCTCGGGGACCAGGTCTTGAAGAGTAATGCGTGGGGGAACAACTTGATGGCGCTTACAAGGGCTGAGGGGCGATGACAGACTCTGTAGGTAAGAGTAATACAGAGAACAGTAATAAGATGGCAGCAGAAATGAAATTTCTTACATTAATCTACAGAAATATTGGTCAGTGAAAAAAACTGATTGGAGATTTTAAAGTTGATACCAAGTCTTACGGCAAACACAAATACTGTAATTCAACCACTGCTGAATGCATTACTTTAGTACACATATACCTTATGTTGAATCCTATAATAAATGGACAAACATTGGTGCTCCCATGGAACCAGTTAGTTGAAGAATAGTAAGAAAATCAACCTTGAAGTAATTTTTTATACACACATGACAACATTAAAGTCTATCATCTCAATGATTAGTCACAGTTATGTTTTTTTTCCCTTTACGTGATAAACAATAAATACAATAATTTGTCATCCCTACCATCTCTAACATTTCTTTGAAATCTAATTACCTGATTACTCTTTAACACTCAGTATATACTCAACTCCTCAGGCTTGTTACAGAACATTACTGGACTTTGCTTTGGAAGTATTTTGTTCCTCATTTTTGCACATTTTTCTCGCAAATTGTCATCACATTTTTATGCAATGGCTGTTAAATAAGTACCACACATCTATGTCCTTTGCATAAGAGTTACAACTGTTACTTTCTGTAAGCAGGCTGCATTTTGATGGCTAAGGCAATGCAAGATGGAACCATGCCAATACTGGGAAGCATCTAAAGGAAGGTTATTTTTATGACTATAACTCACCATTTTGACTTTCTTCAGCACGTTTAGCCACTGACTGAAAGGTGATAAAAAAAAAAGCTCTGTTAGCTTCAAAAAAAGCAGCACAAAAATCAAAACATGCATTTAGATGCACTGAAAAAAGATGGAATGCCTCTTCAATTACTGGAAACCCATGCTAATGACGAGGTTGAATAAATACATTTGACTTCTTGCTACAAGTGCTTGTCACAATTTTAGTCATTTTAGCATTCTAACTATTGCTCTGGCTGTTAACAAGGGCAAATTTAAGCTATGTTGTAGTCGCAATTTCTTCACGTAGATAAGATAGATAGAAAAAGCTACTTCTGCCTCATTCTCACCATATTTTCTTGTTGTTTCACTTTTGAAGAGCAGGTAACTGAAATTCCCTCCTTTGTGCAGTATTAGTGTCGTTTTGGCTTCACACAGGTCATCCTGCTTTAACTCGCCACAACCAAATGGTAATGCTGCAGACACCCATTGTATCCCAATCCACAGGTGGTAATCCCAATCGCTGCCATTGAATGTGACTCTCCCATGCGAAGCTGTGTGGGATCTTATGAAACACGACTGCTTGTGATTTGACAATAGGTTGTAAACCAACCCCCCCAATTTGGGAAAAGGAGGAACATTGTGCCTCTTATTGCTGAAACTACTGTAAGTAAATGAGAAATCTTGCATCTTTCAGGCATGTTGTATGGTTGTGTGTCGTTGCTCCCTCTGCAGAGCTATTTTAAAAACAGTCAAGGAGTCTAAGGCAGCTAATGTGGGATTAGCACCCTGGTTTTGGGATCCAGAGGTAATATGGAGGCCAAAGCGATCTGGTTGAGGACCAGCATCTTCCATCCATTCATTTTCTGTACACCCTTGTCCCTTAGTGGGGTCGGGAGGATTGCTGGTGCCCATCTCCAGCTAACGTTCTGGGTGAGAGGCGGGTCACCCTGGTCAGGTCACCAGTCTGTCGCAGGGCAACCATGCACACACACACACTCACACCTAGGGAGAATTTGGAGAGCCCAATTAACCAGTCATAGTTTTGGACCGTGGGAGGAAACCGGAGTACCCGGAGAGAACCTATGCCTGCACAGGGAGAACATGCAAACTCCATGCAGAAAGACCCTGGGCAGGGAATCGAACCCAGAACCTTCAGGCAAGGCAACAGGCAAGAAACCATAATTTATCCAAAAGAAACCAGATATTCATAAATTACTATTGAAAATCTTATTTTTTTTAAAAAAAATGTGTGATAATTGAAAGATTACATTATTTGAAGGCTTTTTTTTTCAGATTTTTATCAGGGGTGCCAATATGAGAATATGATATTCACCTACAATAAGTAGTCTTCTATACAGTAATATGTGTGCTGTATGCCATTAATTAAATTAAAAAAATATAAATATTTCATCAAATGTAGCAATGTTGCCTAATGAAAAACAACATCATTTCATAAAATAGAAACATTTAATGTCAAATCCAATAAGACAATGTAAAAGCGCACGGTCCGTCTGACCTGCAGTCTGTGGGGGTGTCAGTCAGCAGCAGCAGGTACTTATTCTGGGTGAGGATCAGAGCGAAGCAGCTGTCCCTGGATGCTCCAGAAGGTAACTTTGGCAGGTCCAGGATCTCCTTGCCTTCAACAATTGTCTCACAGTGACTTTGCAGAAGTACAATCTGGTGAGGTGGAGACAGAGCATCATGGCATACGAAGAGACTGCCTTCAGCAGTCAGACGCAAAAAGCGTTTCTTCCACTGTTTGAAAATGAATCCACCTTCAGGAAAAAAAGAAAAGTTGAAAATACACGGGGCATTTTGAGTAACTGCTGGAACAAAGATGCCCGAAGAACAGCTTTCCAGGTTGTTTTTCAGGTAAAGACTTCCTGACTTTTTCACATCATAAATTTCAGTTATTTTCTCCAAATCCTGTTATTTTTGCCAATTCTAAGATACAAATGTTATAAGTTTGACTACTGATGTGACATCTCCTCTGATGATGAAAGAAAAGAACAAAGCACACAAAAAATGAGAAAGGAAGAATAGAAAGAGGGGCTGAAGGAGAGACAAGATAAATGAACAGAAGAAAAGATGTTAAGAAATTCATTTAAAAAAGCCAGAAGAAAGAACATGAGGGAGAAAGGACCAATAGGAAGTCTGGACACGAGGGGAAGACAAAAAGAAGACAGGAGGAAATAATAAAGAAAGGAAGGAACAAATGGAGTTGTGAAAGAAACAAGGAATGAAGTTGTGAAAAAAATGAGGATGACAGCTGACTTTTAAAGACAAAGATCTGTTCTTTTATCTAAAAAAGGAAAATGTCTTATTGAGTCGATCACTGAGGTGAATAAGCATAAATCATTTTCAAATTGATATTTCTTCTTTGGGTATTTGAGTTACTCCCCCTTATGCCTAAGACTGGGTTCAGGACCATACTGGTCACACTTCTCCAGTTTGGACAACGCAAATGAAACTGCATACGCTCCCAGGCTGCGTGTGAACCTTAAGTATTAGGTGTGGCCTCAGCGATCACAGTGTCAGCGTGTGCAATGTACATGTGGATTAAAGAACGAACACTGTGTCATTCCATCATCCCACCAGATTAGATTAGAGAAAGTCAGATGGAGAGAGGATCAGGAGGCTGTGGACGCTGAATGCGATCAATCCACATGCATTTTCTCATTTCACAAATTCTATTTATATGTAAGTAAATTGTAAGGAAAAGTTAAAAAGACAACTTAACTTTACCTTTTAGTGGCTACGGTAAAAAAAAAAAAGCTGGCTTTACAACATACTAACATGTGTCATGACTGGGACTAATGCTGAACAATTCAAAATTTCTTACAAAATGATTTAAAAACATTTGACATCATACATCTGAAGTAACACAAACTATGGTAAAGACTGCAAAACTTTCCCACAGCTGAATTTTGATTGTATTTTCCCCCCTAAAGTACAGAGATCTATGTTGCACCGATTCTACTCACCGTACATCCTGAGCACCCCGTGGTGTATCCCCGAGACATTCATGGTTCCAGACTGTGTCGCGCAGTCCAGCGCTGTCAGAGAGAAATATTTGTGGACGTTTGGAGCACATGAGATTCAATGTGAGTTTTTAATGCCCATCCTTAATCCCCCTCGGTCAGCTGGGACGCCGCAGAGCCGTAGCTCAGCAGATTGGTGTAAAAATGGGTTGTGATGATTTGTCGCACGCAAACTGTTGCACTGTGTGCAGAGTCAGTGGAGAGAGAGATTTTCTCATGTTCTTCTTTATTATCAGATCAGTTTTACAGACACAAAATCAGGGTTGAATATAAATAAACAATATTGTGACAGAAAATCACCTCTGTCATCTTGCTGCTTTTCCACAGCAAACATGAAAACAAAATAAAAACAACAACAACAACAACAACAAAAAAAAACAGCTGTCAACTTGCTGTAAACAGAGATATTTCTATATTCAGTCCAGCTACTGGGGTCCATTTCATTAAAGCATTAGTTTTATTCAATGTTATTGCAGCCTTTTTATTATTATTATGCTAAAGCATTTTTTTTAAAGTATTAAAAACGTTTGTCAATTTCAAACGCCCGCTTGAAATTGCGTGTCACTGAGGATCGGATAATGACCAGATTTTGACACCATATTTATAATACATTTGACACATTAATAGTAGGAACAGTTCTAAAAAAATGATTTATTCTAATTACATGTGTTCACATCAGAAAATCTGGTATTTTGACTTGGCAGGTGCTGTTTTATAATCTTCTGTATGTAGGTGTGTGGTGACTGTACAAATAATTTCTCATTTAAAAAAAAAACAACCTAATAATCAAGTATCATTTAGTTTCCATTCATTATCATTTGCTGAATAAAAAAGGAGGCTGCAGCCACATCTCTAGTGATCCATGATGTACACAGTGTTAGCGATGGCTTACAGGCAGGTAGGCATGATGTAACAGAGTATAATCCAAAATACAACGTGAAAGCTTACAGATTTATCTACAAATCCACACGTAAGGTTATATAAAGAATAAAACTCCATTTCAAAATGACCAAATTGGAAATAAATTAAGAAATCACACGGTAAAAATGGGTACTTTGGAAAACTAATGAATGTAAAAATTATGGCTACGTCTGAAGTTATTAACGTTATTACATACATGGGCATTGTGTGCTTACTTAATCTTACATACTGGCAACTATTAAAATCCCTTCTAGAAAAAACCACACTGGATGGACATGAGTGGTCCTAAAACAGGAATGAGAAGGACGGGTCAGGAGAGATGATACGTAGGGATGAACAGATGACAGGGAGGGAAGTTTGGGTCAAGAACATTAGAAAAATTGTGTTACATAGGTGAGTGTGCAGCTAGGCCTGCTGGTTGATTAGAATAGTGATTTAGGCATGACCTTCCCTTCCTTCCAAAAACACTTTTTGTTTATTTGCCAGTTAGGAAAGCTGGTCTTCATATTGCTTTCTGAAACAGTCTCCAGCAGGAAAGAAGTCCCAGCATCGTTCCTGGTACATCTTCCACACGTACGACTCCTGCAAGCAGAGGATGCAAGAACAAGAATTCAAAAATTCTGAATTTAAAAAGAAATGAAAACAAAAACACGTCAGACAGACCTGCCCAGTGTGTTCTGTCTCATCTTTGTTAATGAGATACATCAAGAAGAACCTGAAAACAAAACTCCAATGTTGATCTGTTCTCATTTGCACCTGTGCAAATGCAATGCAGAAGAGATGCTTACATGTAGTTGGCCAAGTTATGTTCGTCAAAGGTGTGGGTCTCAAAGCCATGTGGGGTTGTATCAAAATAGTCACTTCCGATGCCACATATGAAGCATTTTGTCTGCACAAAAATCAGCAATGAAGAATATAAACACTCTTCCCAAATGTACTTGAAGGTATCGGTCAGCAATAACGGTATTATACTGTACCTCCATGTCCTCCTTGACCTGCTCCTGTTGGTCTCGGAGTTCTCCAAAGGCATCAATAATCAGACCTGCAGGGTTTTAAACATATTGTGATAGTAGCTGAAAATCTGTCGCATGCAAAACATCCGTTCAGAAGTTGTTGTTTTTTTTTGCCGATTTTTCGGATTTCTCTTTAAGACTTATGATATAATAAGATTTAACAACAGTTTTTCTACCCTTCCTGTCATGAGAGGCTGCTGATCATAAGCATCAGGAGGAGAGAAGAGGCCGTGATTAAAAGCTGCAAAACACATTTGAAAGCTGAAAATGACACAGATCTGGTCAAAATCTCGTTCTCCAAACCTGAATGAACCTGGACCTGTCTTGTTTTGTTTTTTCTTTTAAATACCTACGAAAATTGCCAACTTAAACCTTCTTCCCTCAGTAACGACATCCATGCCAAAGAGTGTTGCCACACCTGCTTGGCTAAAACTGTCTGATTCTAGTACCAGCCAATTTCATGTGCATCTCCATGCCAAAAGATCTTCACATATTATTCATTTAAAAACCATTATCCAGGATGTATTTTACCCTGAATAATGGCCAGCAGAATGACAATGACGAAGAAGAAGAAGGTTATATCAAAGACCACTCGATAAAGCTCGTATTCGTCTCCTGCGGGATCTTCTATCTCGTCTCCAATTCCTCCGCCAGCACGCACGCCCACGTACATGTGGAACAGGTAACACTGCGCAGGAGAAAACCTCATAAACATAAACTGGGAGGTTACATGTGATTTAAAACAGCCGTCATTTCCAATAATCAGTGGTTTACAGTCATCATGTCATCGCATTTCATGTCGGGCTCGTCTTCGTCCTCGCTCTTGTTGTAAAACTTGCGGAAGAAATTGAAAGCCACCACAGTGTAAAGATACACCACGACAGCCAGTAAGCCCACTGTCATCATGAGCTGCAACACACAGCACAAAAAAAAAAAAGATGAATTAATACATTCTGACTAAAGCTAAAGATGCATTCTGATGTTTTTATTTTTGCTCTTGCCTGTTTGCCGTTGTGTGTAACCGAGGACAGGATAGTGCGTAGAGTTTTGACGCCCATTGCAATGTCCAGCAAATGGCAGGCAAAGAAGAAGTTGTTGTAATGACCAAGCAGGGACATCACCAGGTACCAGCAAAGATAAAGGAAGGTCTACGGGAAAATACGGGAAATAAAGTGTCAAGGGGATGGATAAAGCACAGAGCGAAACATACAATCACTCATTTTCTTACGCCGTCTGTGAACACAACTCCAAATTTCCAGATTTGGTACTTGATATCAATGGAAGTCACCCTAAAAGATAAAATAAGGTTTAATAATTACGTTTTTCAGTCGAAACGTAAATATATAACCCATTTCCTTGTCCTTTTCTGGCAAAGCTCTACTTCACCATGCAAACACAGAGTTGTCTGGCTCCTCTTGTTTCTTCTCATGCTGCTGACTGACATCCAAGGAGGCTAAGTCAACGCCCAGGAGCTCAGCGATTCTTTCTCTCCCATAAATGTCTCCATACTTATCCAGGACCTGGACACAGACAGTATGTTACGTGTCAGAGAGCATAAAATCTCTATTGCACCGTAATCAAGAAACTAACTCACTTTTCGTTTGACAAATTTATCCCAGTAGTTGTGTGGGAAAGAGCTGAAAAGACAAGCAACATGAAGCATCAACTGCATTAACAGAAGCCTGATATTATTTAACAGTATCTGTAATGAAACAGGCATTTTTCCCCCCTCCGGTCTCCCTACGGCGTGTTCAGGACTAGACGATCCCACTGGCCCTTGATGTCGTCATCCTCAGGCTGCTCAGTGATGTAGAGCCCATCAAACTCCAGCTTTCTTGCAAGTTCCTTTTCTCGTTTAAAAATCACCAGCGGGATCTTGATTAAAACCAAAGTTAAGTTTAAAATGGTTTCATTGCCAGGAATTCAAACTAACAATTTTGTTTTCAAGTATTCATTCCTCTTTTTCCAAATCTTGTCAGGTTACAACCATAAATTTTCAGTTACTTTTGTGATTACTGCAAAGTAGTGTATTATTGCAATGTGATGAAAAATGATAACTGCTTACAAATACAAAACTCAAAAGTGAGGTGTACATTTATCTTTACTGTGGTACCCCAATTCAAACCCAATGCAGCCTGTTGCCTTGGATGCTTTAGGCTGCATTATTATACTTGAAGAATCAGGATTCCCACAGTCGTGGCATAACATGACAAAATGTGGAAACATCGAAGGGGCATGAGTACTTTTTGCAAGACACTGTAAAAAGTAAGTGCAGGTATGTTTTGTGATACCTTCAGACAGTTGTACCCAATGATACAGATAAATGAAATGACTGTATGGAGAATGGCTAGGAATGATAGTGTGGGCTGCATGTATCCAGTGCTCTCCTCTAAATAGTAATAAAGCAGAACGTCTTCTTCTTCGTCTTCTCCTCCTCCATCCGCTCCAGATCCTTCAGCTTCATCCCCACAGCCCTCAAACAAGCCAGAACCCTCAAACAACCCGCTTCCCTCTGACAGTCCGGATCCCTCCATCTCATCCCCTTCAGGTGGAGTATCGGAGACCTTCACAAAACAAGAACCATAAAATCTATTGCTGCCAAAGATCAGAAAGTCAGAGTGTTTAGTAGGCCTAAAAGCTTAATTCAGCTACAATCTGTACACCATTTGAAAACAATTTTTCAGTACAAAATGCTTTACCCGGTAGAAAAGAAGAATGAAGTTCAGGGCAAATGCAAGGAACAAGGCCAAAAATCGCAGATTGTAGAAGTTTCTGGAGAGGTAGTTCTGGTAAAGAGAGATAAGAATTTGTGGTGCTTTACAAAAAAAAAAATTAAAATGGCATGACATTACATTAGTTTTTACCACAAAAGGTACAATGCTCTCACCATGAATTTATTTCTCTGAGTTTCCAGCTCAGTCCAGATTTGAAAACCCCCTTGCCTCTTCTTCTTCTTCTCTTTCTTGGCTGCAGATTTCTTTGGTTCTTGTGGCTTCTCTTCTTCTTTGCTTTTGGCTTCTTTCTCCGATTTTTCACCAGTTTCAACACTGGAAATGAAACACACAAGTTTCATTGTATAATTTCAGTCCCCAACATCAACTTGGCACTGTTGATCCATCTTAATGTGCTTCGCTTTGATTGATATCTGTGTTACTTTCAATACTTATACTTTAGTCAGTTTCCCACACACGTAAACTTACTCTGACTTTTCCGGTTCTGGAGGGGTTTCTTCCACAGGAGCAGGCTCAGGTGGTTTTTGGCTTGCATCAGACTCTTCTGGCTGTAGTGAAACGGAAAGATCATCCACAAGACAAGGATTTTGTTTTCAGACTGCTGATTTTTTGGAGGTGTCCTTACCATTTTTCTCTTCGTAATGGGAGACCCTTCAGGAGTCGGAGGCTCAACTGGTTCCTCGACACCCATATCTCCAAGTCCACCTGGAGCATCCATACCCGGAATCCTTCCTCCTTCATTTTCCTGCGTGTCCTCCTCTTCCTCTTCACCACTCCCGGATTCACCAGTGTCTGTTATCCCCCCGGTTTCTTGTTCTTCCCCTGTCCCCAGCTCGCCTGGTCCATCTCCGTGCACGTCATCTTGCGTGGGATCTGGCATACTCGCTAAAATCTCAGTGACTGTTATGTTTTTAGCTCCCTCCACCAATCCACCTCCAAACAGCGCTTGCCAGATGATCACAAAGAAGCCTTTGCACACATTGTAAATGAAGGTCAGGATGCTCATTAGGATAGCCCAGAAGAACTTGGACAAAGCCACCACGATCTCCTTAAAGGTCATCTTTCTGATTCTGCGATACTGCCTGCGTAGGTTACGGAAGGTGAAGATGCTGAGGAAGCTCGACATGCTGTGGAGGAAGTCTGTAAATGCTGAGGTTGATTCGGGTCGCTCTTCGTCGCCGTTACTATCTTCATCCCCGCCTCCACCCGCCGCCCCGCCTGCTGCCCCCTCTCCCACTCCTTCATCTCCCTCATCATCCTCTTCTCCCTTCTCCTCTTCGTCCTGCTCTGAAATCTGTGACGCGATATTCATCTCAAAGATGGTGTCCTCACAGAAGTTGACGAACATCTCCATTTTCTCAGATTCGCCGCCCTCGTTGACGACATCAAATATAAACTGCCGTTTGGACTCTCGCACTTGTGGCATTTCCCACTGTCTGCGGTTGACTTCGCTGATTTCAAAGTAGATGCGCTCAATCTTCCTGCTGGCGCCCATTATCTCAATGCGGCCAAGGAACGGGCGGAAGTAGTTGAGCACACTCTCTGCTTGCTCCAGGAAGTTCTGCAGCCGGGAGTCGTGCGGCACATGCTCAGAAAGGTTGGTGAGCAGCACTGCGATGTTGAACCCGATGTCCTTGGCCGGCTCCTGAAAGCGATTGGCAAACTCCTCGTAGTTGATCATGTCATTCTCATCTGCTTCTGAGCACGACAAAAGAAACTGGATCTCAGAGGGGGAGTACTGTTTCTGACTGTCCATGGCCTTCTGGAAGTCCTTCTTAGAGATCAGCCCTCGAGGGTCAGTGACATAGTCACGGAAAGCATCGGAGGCAACGATGTCTTTCAGTTTGAGAAACATGTCAAAGAACTTGAGAATCATCTCAACGTTGCTGGAGGACTCCACCAACATGTCGACCATTTGTCGCGCAATTGTACCATTAACTATGTTCCCTGAAACAAGAATAAAAACAAAAATCAAACAAGTGATTTAAAGGCACCACAAATTTATTTGGCAGTATTTAAGTTTTTTTTTTTTTTACCCTCTAATAGTGAGAGCAACATAACAACCATGTCTTTTTGGAGGTCAAGAAGCTCCTTCAGCAGAGCAATCTGGCTGGAGTCCTGTGGTCATAAGGAAATACAGTAATGATATCATGACTGGAATGCAGGAGGTAATAAACTCAAAGATACAAGGAAGAATTAGTGAGGAAGACAGATGTCGTATTATGAGACATCTGTGGATAACTTTTATAGAAACATTCGCTGTGCTTTAATTTCAGCTGCCTAATTAGAATACTGAACTTATCCAAACTTCTTGGTGACATGATGTAACGGAACTGAACATAAAGCAGCAATGTCAACTATTATTTTGGATTATTTTTGTTTGAAAACATTTGTTAAACTCTGCTTTATTATGATGCTTTTCGCACAATATTCTGACTTCTCTTTCATTTAATGTTGTTTGCATTTAAATCTGCACCGGCAAGTCAAAGCTTTGCAAAAACCCATTTGAAAAATTATATGAAAAGTTATGATAAATGCATCTTCGTTTTATATGTTTGGGTTACATCAATTTGTGCACCTGTGCCAGCTTCATCATCATGTGGGCAAACACATGCAGGAATCCAACAATAGCATCCCACAGTCTGCTGTGAGCTAAGGACTGCTGGTTGCCTGTACATGGGCCCTGCAGAAAACAAAAAAGGCTGCTTGTTACAAACTAACTTACAAAGAAACAACATAAATTGGTAATTTGTTGTAAAAGTACCTGAATATATTCTGTTAAACTGTTAAAAATCTGTTTTGCCACTGTCATAGCTTTGGAGAAATTCTTTTTGCCTGGATCATCGATGATATCCTTCCCAGAATAATACCAATAGAAATCACTGATAGATTCCTTGAATGAAAAAAAAAAACTGTTAAAAGCATTGGCATATTTGAAAATTATTTATACAAACACTAACTCTGGAATGATTTGCTCGTATGTACTGCACGCTTTCTTATTTTAAGTCTCTAATAATTTTCACCATGCGCTGTGCAGGGCAGATTAAAGGCAAAGTGTACCTGGAGTCGAAGCAGGTAATCCACAGTGCAGATGATGACGTTGATGCTGGTTGTGCTTCCCGTCTGTGTCCGCAAGTAGTTTTGAAAATCTGCGGAAACAGGATTATTCAGCTTGCAAAGTCTGTTTTGATGGAATTTACTGTTGATTTGATTTCAGTCCAGCTCGAATCTGAAACATGACGTGTTCCCACCGTTATTGTGTCCTTCACAGAGGAGCTGCAGGAAACGGAACAGGTCACAAGTGAACTCGTCATCCGCCATGACTTTCTCATCTTCAGAGGAAAGATTAACACAGATAAATGTATGAATCAAAGTACGGGAACTCACCTAGATTAAAAAGGATTACAACTTAAACATATCTCTTAAGAATTGATTAAATTCATTTTTCAACTTACCATCATAGGTAAATGAGTTTTAGTGTCACATACTGCAACTGCCACCGCTTACAAAGAGTTATAAATACATGGTTAATGTTGAGGACACAGGCATGCAGTCAAACTGTATGTCAAGCAACATACAAGAGGTGCCAAGAACATGTGAAAACAAGCTGCAGTGGAAAACAGCCACATTAACAACACATATAATTTGAACTAAGAATCCACTGCTTGACAAATGGAAAGATGGAATTAATGCCAAGATTTTACAGCGTTCAGGGGTGAACTGATTGTCTAGCTATATTTATATTTCATTGCAGAAGAATAAACAAATGGAAAAATTGTAAAGTGCACAAAAATTACAAATTATCTGTTTTCTAAAGTCCTCTATAGGTAAAAAAGCTTTTTGGCACGAGGTGCTAGATCTGAAAACCTTCGCCTCCAAAGCAAGCAAGGTGGTGATGATTTTCACAATATATACCATGCTCCAAAACGGAACTTCGAAAATAACACATTTGCATAATACCAATATTCATACGTCTCACTAAAGCAGAAACAATCTAATTTTTAGTTTTCTATGTTTAACCCATTTCCGTTTCATCATAATTATCTGTTGTTTTGTTACGTGGGAACATTTATGGACACATTTAGAAGTTGCTTAGGGGAGAAGAGATGCAAAACATCCAGAAAACTAAAACTCAGTTGGTGTTTGCAAACATTAAACTGAGGGCAAGACGTTTGGATCGAACACCTTGCGCCTGACAAACTGACACTTGACTAATCAGCTGCCCTATTTTAATGATGATTTATACTACCGTCCTATCCCAAAGCAGTGCACCCCTGCCTGCAGTGAACACACACAAACAATGAACAATTCAGGACATGTCAATTAAATGTAAGAGAGGACATTGTCCATCAACATTAGTGATGCACCAATCAATTATCCAGACAAAGAAATGAGACCAATTTACATTGACTGGCTCATTGATTGGTTGGTTGGTTTTGCATCTGCATCGAATGAATCAAAACAGAAATGACCCACTTTATCCCCATCTACGAATGCATCAGCATATCGTGATTCTAACTAAGTCAGCTTTACTGAGTTACCGAGCAAAACTCAAATTTTATTCAGACCCCAAAGTTTTGTCAGTGAAGGCCTGATTGGTGCATCTCATTGAAATGTTGAAGGGAATCCAGTATTAGATCAGTCTGAGGCTCTAAGGCACCAAACAAAAAGTCCAATGTGAAAATTACTTTTGAGTCAACTACCTGTTTCCATCTAGGTTTATATTCAAAGGGCATGCAATCAGAGTTGAATGGAAAATTAGTTGTTTGGGTTGGAACATGTAAATGAACATAAAATATTGGATTCCATTCACTGCATTTAAAAATGGAAAACACACAGAGTATCGAGTGCCAAAAGTGCCACAATGTAAAACCAAAATAACTAATCAAATCAATATTTACATGTAAAACTTGGAATAAAATTATTAGTGTTTTTTAAATAAATAAATACTAACAAAATAAATGTATGCATAACTAATGCATATCATAACGCATACTGATGTTTATATAAATTGAACAGTAATCAAAATTATGATATAAGAACACAATTTTATTTCAATTATATAATATTTGTTGAAAAGTGAATTTAGCTTAGCCTTCAGCAAGTGTAATAGCGAGGGTTAACAGAGCCGCAGAGCCTAACAACCAATCAAATGTTAGGCTGAATGTGACATCATGATGACGTCTCTTCTACTTTCTGAACACCAGAATAACAAGGGAGCATTGATTAAGAATTGTTTATTAGCCTCAATTTCAGAAGTTTAACTACACTAAAATTATAATGCCTTTAAATAAGTTGGGCGAACATACTGTAGATGATGATGTTTTAACTACATTTGGGAAAGTATTTAAGGCCACACCTCACACACAAAAGCATCTGAGAACAACAGCAAAGGACCTTGTGAAGATAATGGCTTAAGCTGGTGAGAGTCCTTAACCATGACAAATTAAGTCCCAGGCTTTGCAAGTCAAACGCTGAGCAAGATAGAAATCAAGATTACAATTTGCAAATCAGATCAGGGACGGCAACCTTAAAGTGAAACTAGAACTACAAAACTAGAACTACAAATCAATTTATTGCTGACAGACTGTCCTGTGGTCTAATGAAACTAAAAGTTGGGTAACATTAAATTTGGGGGGGGGGAAAGGGTGAACTTTCAAATTCCTCATTAAACTGGCATTTAGAGAAGAGAGGCTATTTGGTAATTCTGACTAACCTAACAGAAACATTTCATTGTGAAGTCAAACTTAGAAAAATATTTTGATTTGTCTTGCTAAAGATCTGGTTTCAATTCATATTTAGTAGATAAACTACGTGGTCGTTGGATTGTGCTCCTTTTGACCCTCGATAACGGTGGAAAAGCACACAAGGTGCGAACATGAGCAATGGACAATCCCCTCTCAACAGAATCATCATCATTAAAAAAACAAAAAAAAAACAAAGAATTGAGCAAGTGAGACAGGGGAATGAGAGAGCAGAGAGGCCAATGGAGAGAATGATGATTTACCCCGATCTAGGTTCAAGTCTGAGGACCATGAAAGGAGGGACATGAGGAGGGAGGCAGTGATCATGGGGAAGGGAGAGAGGAACAGTGTGTTGACAACAGCAGAGGACTAAGAGATGAGGTTTGGGGAGGATATTAACAACATTCCATGGCGAAATCATTTTGGTTGAAACTTCTAACTATTCTCCAGAATTAGACCACTAATAGACATACAAATGAAATGATTTCTGACTAAATTCGGTTACATTTTCTCTGTGTTAATAGTACTTATGTTAGCAAACTTGTCATTCTACCAGATCAAATTTGTGCTTTAATGTTGAAGATGGTAAGCATATAAAACAAAATGAATTAAATAGTAAATTATTTATTTTGGATTCAAGCGAGTATTGAGATTTATATTTATCCAATACCTTGTTGAGGATGAGCAGCAAAGAGTACGTACATTTGATTACTTAGCAAACAAATATCAATCAAACTGTGTGACATCACTTTCACTTGTCTGCGTCTTAAATATCTTACGCATGAAAGTAGAGAGAAGAAATCAGAGACTTACTTGTTCCTTCCTCTGAAACCATGCCAAGCCCCTCTGCCTTGTTTTGCCTCTCAAAGGCATTTAAATCCAGTACGCTGTTTAAAACATAAACCTTTGATTTCATTCAGCGGTCCTAACTGGTCAGAAACAAACAACTGCTTTACTATTTTTTTTCCACAGAAAACAGCTTAAGGACTGAAAACCAACCAGCAAGTCTGCATTAGAGCTTGGATACTCAAAAAGAAGCCCACATCCTTTTTGTCTTTCAGGTACTCCAACATTTTCTGACAACACAGTGGAAGAAAATTAGTTTTAAAACGGCGTCACTAAATCACCAAATAATCACCTGTGTTTCAACAACACATACCCGCTGAACCTCGCTGTTTCCACTATTAAGGATGGAAATACCCAGCTTGAGGGTGGTAGACACCATTGGGCCAGTTTCACCTAGAAAACAAAGGAAGATTCGAGCACAGGGAGACGGTGAAGGGGGAAAAAAAACGCTTTCGAGTAAAAAAACGGAGGAGGATTACCTTTGCAGGCGCTTATCATCTGCAGGACCATTTCTGCGGCGCCACGGTTATGAAGTCTGGACTGTTGGTAAAGAAGCCTTTGCTTCTCCATTTCTTTTTCCTTTGGCAGGCAGAAATCATGATGAGTTTTTGGTAGCTATATATTGCACACATATTATTAAAATAGGAAGGTGAGGCTCTACCAATTGGTAACTTATTCATTTAAACAGCGCCACCTATCACCGTAGTTAAGGTGACACAGTTTAATAATTCCTGATTAAAACCTACGAGAAAGAAGGTATATTAATCTGCACAAAATGAAGTTGACCTTTACACTACATTTAATCTAAATTTATTCATCATTTGAAGCATCGTGAAAAAAAAACATTTATAAAATGTTCTAACATTATTATAATATAATAATCAATATAGTATATTACTTAAGTCACTTAAGAGACGGTTTAGTTTTTCAGTAAATCAACATGTTTTGGTATTTTTATGGTATTTTTACTCACAGTTGTCATTTAGAGCAGGGGCAAAAGAAAAGTTTGTTTTTGCCATTTTAAAGAAGCCAGACTCCAATTTTGTAGTGTTTCTAGAGAACAGTAAATTGTGGGGTTTTACACCAAGTCCCTTTAGACGCATTGAAAACTAATGTTGTATATTTATTTTCTATTTCTTTTTCCAAATCACAGGAGGCTAAACTCTTAACTGCAGCAGATGGCAGCCAGACTGATCTCGGCGTAAAGAATCAGAACATATGATGGAGCACTCAGAGCAGTGGAGTAGTTCAGAAACTCACAATGTTTCATTCACGTAAGCTTAGGTTTAAGGATTAAAACCGCTAAGATTGCATTTTTCCTGTTAATGCCATGGTTTAAACTTCCACTGACTATGGAGGTTTCTTCACAATTCTTAAAATTTAAAAACTGTGTTGACTGCCTTTAAATACTACAAAATCCTGCTAAAAAAAAAAAAAAAAAAAAAAAACCCCTGGATTGCAGTTTCCATAAATTATTTTTTTTTCTTTTCGGGAATTTTTC